GAACGGTTCCACGTTCGTGCTGCAGAAGAAGGGCATCGTGCGCGCCAAGCGGCGAGGTAGGGTGGGCCGCGGGCCGCGCTCGGGGCAGGGGGCTCTGGGGGTGCGCACCGCGGGGGAGCCAGCCCCAGTGCAGGCCGAACCGGCCCTGCTCCCCGATCTTGGTCCTCCGGCAACCGCACGAGAGGCTGGGGTCACAGGCGCCTTGCGGAGCCCCGGACCCGGAGCTCAGGTACCTTTGCCGTGCTCCAGGGCCCGGGGTGCACAGAGATCCAGACCCGCAGGCTCTGAGCCCCTTTTGACGGCCGCAGGTGCAGAGGTACGGACAGTGCGGTGGCCAGGGGCACCTAGGGTGCAGGGGTGAGGCGCTTACTCGCAGGGCAGGGTCTTGAGGGCCCTGTGCCCGCCCGGGGTCGTGATCAAGCCCTCTCTGGCTTGGATTTGAGCCACCGGAATACAGGTGCTTTTCGGTGTGCAGAAAACACAAAGCAGATTTAAAAAGAAAGGCCACAACGGGGGCGCCGAGCGTCCCGCCAGTGTGCCCCCAGCACCACTCCTCAGTGCTGTGGGAAGCCAGAGCTGCAGTTCTGGCCAGTGCTGGGCGCCCTGCGGCCTGAGTCCTCGCTGGAGGAGCCTAGAAACGGGGCCTGCACCCGCTCCACCCGCCGGAAGTCTCTTCTGAGCAGCCTTCTCACGAGAAGAGCATAAAGAGGTCCGGGGAGGAGTGGCCACCAGGTCATGGAGGTGACAGGAAAGCAACGCAGATTCTGAAGGGGGTGGACTCTCCCAGGGCTGGCATGGTGAGCCAGGGGTGCCTTCAGAGAAGAGGGAAAGGGCCTGTCACTAGGCTCAGCTAATGTGCTCAAGGGGGTTTGTGAATAAGAAAATAAACAACAGCTGTACTTTAAACACACACACACAAACAAAAACAAAAAAGAAGAACGGGGACGACGATCTCGCTGCGGATAGAAACACCGATGTGCAGAGTTCCGCCTGGAGAGAAGGCACTGGTCTCCGCTGGCACCTGCTTACAACCAAGCAGAGGCCCCAAGGACACAGAGGTGTCCGCCTCTCAGGTACAAACGTCTGCGCTCTTCCCAGGCAGGGCTGGGAGCCGCGTTGGCCGGACTCAGAAATAAACAATACAGGCGGCCATGACGGTGGGTGGCAGGGGTGCTCCAGCTCTGTGGTCGTCCTCCAAGTCCCAGAGTCACCCACGAACCTGCACTGGGGAACATCTTACAGAAAGCCAAGTTGGTCCTCTACTCAGTCACAAAGTCTGCGAGACTGCCACAGCCAGGACGCACAGAGGAGCTGACCACCAAGTGACGTGAGGAAAGGCTAAGCAACCCTAATGTGCGCTCTGGCTAGTAAAGCACACAGGTGTGACAGAGAGAGGGGCTCAGTGTCACTGGGCTCAGCTAATGTGCTCAAGGGGGTTTGTGAATAAGAAAATAAACAACAGCTGTACTTTAAACACACACACACAAACAAAAACAAAAAAGAAGAACGGGGACGCCCTGCAGCACCGTGGTGACGCTCTGCTCCAGAGAAGCTGGGCCCCTCTGCGCCTGCAGCTCAGGTCTCCAGCCCAGTCAGCCTGAGACATGCCAGGCACGGGTGCCAGGGTGTCAGAGATCTGATGGCTATACCTGTGTACTGCCCTCTCGGGCAATACAGTGAAAATGGACAATGTGGGACCAGCAGATGGTGTAACGGTCACATCGCTGGGCTCCCATGTAGCTGATCACTTAAAACCCACGCCAGGTGCGTGTGCGTGCATGCCCAAGATCCCAAAAGGAGGATGGAGAAGGGATTGCGGCACCCTGGGGGGTGATTTCTTGCTCTCTGTCTCTGTCTCTCTGGCAAGCACATGTGCCGTATAACAAAAATCTCTCCAAAAAATAAAGTGAAAGTGTAGTATTTGTTAATTTCATACTTTCCTAATTATCACCCACCGGCACATATCCAAGCTAGCTGGTTACTCATGGTGGTGGAAGACAAACATTTAAAGGGACTCGAAATAGTTCATGGAGGGACCAGAAGTTGGCATAATGGCTATGTCACTGGACTCCCATGTAGTTGACTGCGGTTCAAGTCCTGGGTCCAGTGGTTTAAACTTACACTGGGTACGTGTGCATGCATGCCCAAAATCCCGAGAGGAGAATGAAGGAGAAGGGATTGCGGTGTAGCTATCCCCTGAGGTGGGGGGTGGGGTTTCTCACTTTCTGTCTTTCTGTCTCTCTGTCTTTCTGGCGAGCGCATGCTCCATATAGCAAAAACCTTTCAAAAAAGAAAAAGTTCGTGGAAAAGTGGAGTTACAGTATGAGTTTATTTTGGTGTGAAAAATTTTGAAATCTTTTTTTTCATAATACACATTTTCTTTTTTTCTTTTATTTATTTATTGATTGATTTTTAAAATTTGACCAGAGAAAGACAGAGGATGAGAGTGAGAGAGAGGAAGTGAGAAAGCAAGCCACCAGATTCAGGACTCAAACCCTGGTTGGCCATGTGCAAGTGTCTAGCACCTTAACTACCATGCCACCTGCTGGTCCCCATAATACACATTTTCTGTGTGTGCGTTTTTTTTGTTTGTTTGTTTGTTTTGTTTTGTTTTTGCTTTTGCCTTTTTAGTATGTTATCAGGCATGTGCATTGACCAGAGACACAGACGGAGTAAAATGAGAGGTTACCCATTCCCCCCTGGGTAGAGGGTCACGCCGCAGTCCCATCTCCTCCATTCTCTCAGGACTTTGAGGACACACTCATATGTGCTGGTGTGTTTTTTCAAGCTCCAGGTCCAGGACTCCAACTTTGCACCAGCCACGTGGGGTCTAGCCCTCCTCACCTCCGTGCCACCTGCTGGCCCTTCCGTGAGCTTTTCGAGGCCCCTTGGACAGTCCTGTTTCAGTGACTCCACTTTGATTGTGCAGCAAATATTTACAAAGCTGCTGCTATGTGTCGGGCGCTGTTGACGGCAAGGCTTTAGAATCTCTTTCCCATAAAGCCTGTGCCGCGTGTGTTGACAAGTAGCAGCGACCGTTATAGGACAGGGAGCACAGGACCACGTGACTGAAAAGGAGGCGTTGAGGGAGGAGAGAGTATAGATGAGGATGGTACAGGCCACTGACCTGACATTTCTCACGCCTGGCAAGTTCAGCATTGAATGACTTGTCCGGAGGCAGGATTTCTAGAGGCCCAGCCTCCAGGGACCCAAGTTCTGCTCAAGCCTTCTGTTGGGAGCTCTGGGGCACGCCTTCCTCTCTCTGCAGCTTTCACGGAGGGACTTAGAACAATCTGTGAAAAAGTGGATTGAAAGTACAGGTTCGTTTTGGTGCAAACATTTTGAAATCCGTGCCGTTTTTCCGTGATACACATTTTTCATGAACTCTTTGAAGGTCCCTTGTGCAAGTCCTCATAGGGTAGGAAATGCACTCGGCGTTTTTAAGGACTGGATAATCAACTCCACTTAGGAATGCATTGTGAATGCACTTAAAACCACTGAAATATAACTTAAAAGGAAGATGGGGGACCAGCAGATGGCATAATAGTTATGTTGCTTGATTCCCACATAGTTGAATGCTGTTCAAGTCCTGGACCTGGCGGCTTAAACTCACACCGGGCACGTGTGCGTAAAATCTCAAGAAGAGAATGGAGGAGAAGGGACTGCAGCATGGCCATCCCCCCTGGAGAGTGATTTCTCATTTTCTATCTCTTTGTCCCGTCCCTGTCCTTGGCAAGTGTGCACACCCTATTGCAAAAATCTCTCAAAAAAAATAAAAAAGATGATGATAGGTTTTATGGGATATATATTTTAAAAAACAAAAATCCTTTTCAGGGGGCTGACATGTGGCATGGTGGTTTAGGACACTGGACTCCCACATGGTCGACCGTGGTTCAAGTCCTGGATCTGGTGGCTTGCCTTTTCACTTTCCCTCATTCTCCCTCACTGTGTTCTTTTCTGGTCAAACTAAAAATAAATAATAAAGTTAAATAACTCTTTAAAAAAAAAAATCCTCTTCAGGTTTTATAGTCTCCTCCCTGAGAGGGGCAGGGCTAGAGGCAGCAGTGGGACCTAGGAACCAGGCGTCCCCCACCCTTGTCCCAAGCCTCCTGCACCCACAGTTTCTGAGGGTGTGAGGGCCCTGCCTCTGGTCTCCCAGGCACACCCTAGGCTTCCCTCCCCAAGAGATGGGGTCTGTCCGTTTCTGTGGGTTTCCTTGGCCTCAGCCTCCTCCTGTGCCGACACCCGGATGGGGCCTGTTTCCCTGTTCGCACGCCCTGCCCCCCGCTCTTCAGAGGCAGGGCACGCGCCTGTCCACGGGCTGGTGGCAGACACTAGGTAGTGGTGTCTAGTTGTGGAGGAAATGGAGGATCTCAGCCTTGCATTCAGGGAGGGCTTCAGAGCTGTCTCCATGTCACTCAGAGTGACGGCATTTACCGAGTCACAGGACCCCAGGGGCCGCTCGGGCTGCACATCCCTAATGCTGTCTGACCTGGTCCACCCTGAGATCACAGGTCCAGCACATGGCCAGAGTGTGAGGGTCGGAGAGTCTGAGTGGCCCTGCAGCCTGTGCCGGTGTCCCCGAGGCCATTCCGCAAGGAGTAAAGGGAGCGCCGAGGACTCAGGTGTCCCAGACTCGGGTCTGTCGTGGTCCTGTGGGCTGGCTGGGCTCAGCTGGGCGGCTCTCCATCGGGGTTGCACTGGGACGGTGGCTGGGGCTGGGCGCATCTCAATGCGGGACTGCTTTTCTTACTAGGTTGGGATGGCGGACATGGCCGGGGCTTCCGGAGCAGCCCTCGCTCTCCAACCCACCCCATCCCTGACTCGGTTCAGTCTTCACACGCAGCTACACTGGGTTTCCGACCATGTGGCCGCCTCAGGGAAGTCAGACCTCTTACTTGACGGGCGGGTTACACTGCAGCCACTCCTGGGGTGAGCAGTGTGCAACACACTCCTCAGCGCCTCCCACTGCACGACTCCACTCCTGCCGAGGCCGGAGGAGGGGTGCAGGCAGAGCGCGGTGGAGCCCAGCATGTCACGTTAGAGGCTTTGGGGACAGTGACACTTGATGGCGAAACTGAAGGAACCCAGTGGCTTTGACGTAAGTCAAATGTCTGTTTACGACAGGGGCCAGGGGCGAACTGAGACGGTGGCTCTCCCAGCTCCTGGCTGAGGAAGGCGGGAGGAATCTGGATTCCAGCTCTGCGACGTGGCTGGGTACAGGGGGACAGGCTCGCAGAGCCATGCACCTCCCTCGGGAGGAGTGCAGGGAGAGCTCCTGGACGCAGACCGGGCTGGCATCGCCTAGGCCCTGCAGTCCGTTGCAGGCAGCAGCCAGCCAGCCGTCTCTGTGGCCCCGATCTGCCCTTTGAAGGCAGGCCAGCTAGCGTGCAGAGAGCTCCGTCAGCACTTGCTCAGGGCGTCCCCGCAACTCCTTCCGAGCTATGCTTTTGATGGAACACTGCAGACAC